GTTTATGTATAAGACATTCCCTAAGAGTGTGTATACATGTCATGCAACTCACTGACTTCAAACGTTGTCCGATATGGTTTGAGAAACGGATGCTAGTGACGATTCTGTTGGGTTTTTCGTGAAATTCTTTAAAAAACGCAAAGCGCACTGTTTTAAACCAACAAGATCTATTGTAGTGTATTTTCTGTATTTACTTATATTTTTAGTGAACACTGTACCTCTTCATTCATTAATTGAATATGTGATTATCTATTCCACTTGCTCACAGAATTATGATTTCACTTTATATTGTGCTAACGTGGAATGGGTCAAATAAACTGTCCATTCCACCTAATGAAGCGAGTGATTATTAGCTTTAATTATATCAAGTGTGAAATTCATCTTTTATGTAAATTTTCGAAAAGATATTTATAAAATTTTGAGGTGAGACTATAATTTATGGGCGGACAAATGAGATAAAAGACAACAGCTCTTGGACTCCATTTAGTGATGGAACCCATATCAATTTAAATGCATCGATGTATTATCTATGTTGAAGCCGTTCAATATTTATACCTATTGCTTCTTCAGAACAAGTAGTTCCATGACTGGAGACCTTTTGCCGGCCACAGGATCTTTAAGAAACATATATAACTGTGTAAAAAGAATGGTCATAAGCCATCCTGACCAAGCTTTGCATGTGAAGCTTATTTTACGTATATTTCACAAATAGTATGAAATTATAAAAATCTAAAAGTCGGTAATTTGTGCACTACCAAGTTAATAACAATTTGGTCTGTAGAACACAAACTCCTGGGAAATAAGTGTTATGCAACAAATAAGTAAGCTTCAATTGTGACTGAGTAACATTTGAACTTACAGTTACGAATTTTAAAAACCTACAGCTGATTGGTTTCGGAGATGTCCATTATTTACGTTGCGCACTACTTATAAAGAGCGCCTTGTTTGTCATCCCCCCTCTATAATGCAATGGCTATGCAAAGTGTCAGGATAACACATATCAGCTTATTTTTAATTATTTCATGACTTATTCTCTTGAAAGCTTCAAGTTTATGATTGCGAATTCGGTCCGAGCTGGCTTGTGGTTGAAAGGTATGTGTTGTGCAGCGTGCTTACTGGTGATCTGGTGCGTTTATGTGACCGGTCACATTCATCTAAGTCAGTTCAGTAAAACTAGCGCAGTTTGCATTAAATGCCAAAGACTCACAGAAATACTGATTTAAGTTATTTGTATACCGCTACAGCCATCTTAAATAAATTTTAAAAATATGAGGATAAGAATTCATATTTTGATGATAAACACTTTCTAGACCATTTTAGTTAAAAAGCCAACAGTGTTCTGTGAAATGACTTAACCAGTATCATCGTTGTGAAGATCATCAATGTTATTGGGATATGTGCATACTGTGCGTACTACCTGTGTAATGACTGATCAAACACCAATGGGAAGTTTCAAGTAATTGATACAAAGTGAGGTTAGAAGTTAAGGTTGAAAACTATGATAAATGTTTTCCCTCACTAACTGATATCAACTATAAATCCAAAATCCTAATTATTCGTATAGATGAATGAATTTCCTTTCGATATCCTGGACTTACTATTTTTGGTTTCGTGAGTCCATGCTCAGATCGTCTACTCGCTCCTTGGAAAGTGAAGAATTATCCACTTAGCTACTGAATCCAGAGGTAGGGAAATTTTCTCAGGGTCACTCTAGCGTCGTTCAACGGTAGTTCATAATTTTTAGTCTTGCCTATCGGGGCACTGAATTGTTGCACTGCACAACATTTCTGCACTATATGGTTACATCTAGCTCCAGTGAGATCCACTCCGATGTACTGAAAGAAGTGTGGTGGTAAATAAATCCCCAAAATAAATAGCTCTGTAGGTTTTCGACATTGGATGCTGACCAGATGTTTTGGTGAACTCACCTAAGTGAAGGCGCTCGGTCATGCATCCGCACAGATCACATGTGGGAACTCCGTGCTCAACATCTAATGCAATCGCTAGACAGACTAGACCAGACGATTCCGATATATTGATCATCGTCAAATACAACTTCTGATCTCCTCGATTCTGTCGTTTATTTCTGTTGGTGGGTACGAGTTATATTAGAAGGTGTTACTGATAAAAGCGTAGTCAAACACTGAATACCTATGCAATCTCCAGAAACTTCTTCACTTCTCGCAACGTTCCTTAGTGCATTGTTCTCGCATACCGTAATACAAGGAGTGGTGTTTGGCACAGAGAAGTTGATATGCATCACTCACATCTTCAAGAGAGGTTGACAATTAAAATTACAGACCAGTAAATTCTTCCTGACAACCTTCAAATAATGATGATGAAACATGCGACTATCTGAAATTTACTAATTCCATTGCATGGATTTGTATAAATATGGTCTAATTTGGTATTAGTACATTTATCTTTGTTACTATAATAAGAGACCTAATCCCAAAATTGTAGACTTGCCATGACGTGACTGCAAAATATTACATGCAATTCATACCATTCTCTGCTCTGAATCATCCTACGTGACAGTCAGCAATACGATGTTTAGCGCTTTTTAAGAACGGATTTGTGTCGGATGCAGAGTGATTATTTAATATGATTAGGGATAAGCTACACAGAATGACCGTGCCTGAAAGACTGAGCCAAAACCATACCTTTCAATTGTTCATGCGTTCACCATTTTCGGACTTCAAGTTTTACTTTCTAAACGTAAATCTCAGTAGTTATATGTCCGGCTTCAAGTAAATACTATTAAAGATTCATAAGGATTCTGTCTTATATACTTTGTATAGATGCTCTTCAGAAAATATTTTGCGAAACATTACTTTTTTGATGAGCCCAAGCCTTTGAGAGGACTCTGGCATCAGAATGTGATTTTCTATGCAAACCGCGGAAGAGTGTGACAAACTGGACTGTAAGCTTTTTTCCTAAGTTCTAGTGGTCGTCAAGTAATCTTGGCAATTCGGGAGTTACAAGAAGCTACACGTGACACCTTTATAATCAAATTATACCAACCTAGTAAAATTAGAAATCAGGAATGTAGGAATTCGACGGTATATTTGGAAGGTTGTCGACATGTCGAGAAGCATTTATTTAAGCTCGTTAGCTGTTGCCAGGGTTGTTTAGCACAGACTTGACACTTCTCCTGGCCCGGATATGGTTCATCCTGCCATACTGAGGGAGGCAGCCTCAATCCTGGCAACGCCGCTTAGCGTGGTGTTTTCACACTCGCTTAGCCGAGGCAAATTACCGGAAAATCGGAAGTTGGCTCACATCACACCAATTTTCAAAGGTGGTCGACGCAATGAACCTTCAAGTTATCGGCCGGTGGCTCTTCTGTCATTACCTTCAAAACTCATGGAGTCCCTGATATGCGACGGTTTAAATGACTATCTACTGTCCTTAAATTTCTTCTCACCCCAACAGCATGGTTTCAGGAAGGGTTACTCTTGTATAACCAACCTGCTGACTGCGGTGGACAGATGGACAAGCATCCTCGATTGCAAGGGAAAGGTTGATGTCATTTACCTTGATTTCTCAAAAGCTTTTGATAAGGTTAACCACTTGTGTCTTATCAACAAGCTCAAACGACTGGGTATCAAACTACCTCTAATCGATTGGCTTACTTCATACCTAAAAAATCGACACTTTAAGGTTAGGGTTAATTTCACTTTATCTCAGGCTATGGAATGTCCTAGTGGGGTCCCCCAGGGCTCAGTACTAGGGCCTCTTCTCTTCTTGATCTACATAAATGATCTTCCTCAACAGGTAACGTCAGACGTATTACTTTTTTGCCGACGACGTGAAACTTTGGAGAGAGATACGCAACCAAGACGATACACAGACACTTCAGGAGGATCTGACGCGACTTCAAAGTTGGGCAGACAATAACGGACTTACCTTTAACACTTCAAAGTGTAAAGTAGTCCATCTGCGACATGTTGCAGATTACAGTTACAACCTAAGAAACTCCTCTCTAGTAGTATCCCAAGTCGAAAAAGATTTAGGAGTCCTGGTGCCCCACGACTTAAAGTCCTACGCTAACTGTGACAAAAATGCCTTCCGAGCAAACCTTGCACTGATAACGTTGAAGCGCATTTTTGGCCAGTTTGACGGACGAACTTTCCATACAATCTTCAATAGTTTCATCCGTCCCCATTTAGAGTACGGAAACATAGTACTGCCCCCCTCACTCCAAAAGGACAAGGTCACTTTGGAGCTTATCCAACGACGAGCCACGAAATCAGTTCGCGGACTCAAATCCAAACCTTACGAAGAAGGCCTCCATTCACTAGACCTTTACCCATTTGAGTATAGGCGTATTAGAGGTGATTTATTAATGGCTTATAGTATTCTTAACACTTCTGGACATCCTCTTAAACACCTACTTAAGCTTAGTTCGAATAATAACCTAAGGGGTAACACCCAGAAACTGGAAACACAACATAGCAAGACGGAATGTAGACACAACTTCTACTCCTTAAGAGTTGTCAAAAGCTGGAATTCGCTGCCGGCCGAGCTAGTCCAAGCGACTTCTCAGTAGTCCTTCAAGAGGTAACGACCTATTCTTAAGGACCAAGGACAGCATCACACTATGATTTACCAATTTCTTTTCCTCTTTTGTTGTTAACATACCTAGGTTCCTGCCTGGAGGATTTGGTGATCCCCTGCTACTAGACACGGAAGCCTGTTAAGCGAAAGCTTCTTCTATTCCGTCCACAACCATTTGGACCATTTGAACCCGAGCACCTTCACCTAGGTATGTCTGGCGAAAATCATGCAGTCAGCATCAAATGTAGAAGAATCACAGATTCACTGATTTCGAGGATTTATTTTTACCACAAGTTTTTCACGATTAAACTCGATATAACTTTAAGAACACGGGACGGAATTTCATGCCTATTTAGAACATTTTTATATCTGTTCGTTGTATGTATTTTGGTTCTTGTCTGGAGATACCGCCGATGCATTCTCATTAGACACAGTGGATCGTTCATTTAAACTTATTTGAATGATTAGGTACTGAATATTCCTTAGGACGGATGCATATGAACTCAAGGTCGTTTTTCCTTTAGGATGGCAACTTCTATAATCAAGTTGCACACGCTTTCGGGGGCTGGTGATAATGGTTCACCTTGTTATTTACTTCAGGTGAATTAATACAACAAATGATATATGTTTTCCAGGTAGATGAGTTTCACTGCCTTCTTGACTGTGGTTGGTGTGAGAAACTGGATAGTGACTATGTGAAAGAGGTTTCAAAGTGGGCCAAACATGTTGATGCAGTGCTTCTTAGCCATCAAAGTTTACGACACCTTGGGTTGCTTCCATATCTTGTTGGGACATGTGGACTTAACTGCCCGGTGTATGCCACGACTCCTGTTTACAAAATGGGGCAAATGTTTTTGTATGACTTTTTCCAGTCAAGACATGCTTCTGAGAACTTTAGTCACTACACGTTAGATGATGTTGATCTAGCATTCGATCATGTGCATCAAGTTAAGTATCAGCAAACAATCAGTCTTCATGGTCGTGGCCATGGTTTATGTATAACCCCACTTCCTTCTGGTATGTTACTTGTATAAAAACTATTTTCTGACAGGTCACACACTTGGAGGAACAATTTGGAAACTAGTTAAGGAAGACACAAGTATCGTTTATGCTTTGGATTTTAACCATAAGAAGGAGAGACACTTAAATGGAGCTACCTTTGATGCTTGCATACGACCACACTTACTAATTATGGATGGTTCGAACACCTTATATACACAGGTATGTTTTCTCACTCTCGATTAGTTTTTTAGCCTAGGAGAAAAGATCGTGATGAAAATCTACGTCAGACAATTTTGAAGAGTTTAAGGCGTGGTGGAAATGTACTTATTGCCGTGGATACTGCTGGAAGGTGTCTTGAAGTAGCCCATTTTTTAGAACAATGTTGGTTAAACCAGGTTAGTTTTAGTTTTAGGGGCTATCACATATTTGGTTTAAAATATTTTGTTTCTGACCTAGTTGTCTTGATCGTATGCCAAAATAATTTATTTTCCACATTTTGATATCAAAAGTGACTAGTATCTGTACTGCACTCCCACGTTACACTTGCGGATTAATAAACTACTGTGTTTAATCTCGCTACATCTTTCCTCCTACACAAACTGTGTGTGCAGAGCACACTTCATTAGTGTTGTGAGTTATCCCTAAGTACAGTGCTTGCGTGATGCATACATTTTAAGTCTGCCTTGTTTCGTATCACAGCTTGCAATTGATCGTTTTGTTTTCATTTGGTTTCATCCGTTTGCTTGAGGTAGTGTCTGACCAAGCATTAGTTTCCGTCAATAGCGTTTTCACCGCAACAGATTGACTGGTTTAAAATAGCTTCGAAACCCATAGAATTTGGTTTGTGCCTTTGTGTGGCCTGAATAGAAGTACACTGATTTATCGTTTAGTTCAAAACATTTTCGTGCTAATTTGATTCACGTCAGCTCGTCGGTTTTGGAGCTTAAACTAATGGTTTTAGTCACTAATCATGAAACTTGTGGTTTTACTAATACGTTTTCTATCGCTATGTCTAGGAATTTATTAAAGCAAGTGTTGCTGTTTGTACGAGATTCTGAATTTTCATCGGATGAATTATTATTGTTATTATACTGCTTAATTCATTCTTTTTTTGGCTAGGAATCTGGTCTAATGGCTTATGGATTGGCGATGCTAAATTATGTGGCTTTAAATGTTGTGGACTTTGCAAAGTCAATGGTTGAGTGGATGTCCGAAAAAGTAATGCGATCTTTTGAGGATCAACGAAGTAATCCGTTTCATTTCCGACATATGCAGTTGTGTCACACGTTAGAACAGTTAGATGCTGTTTCAGAGCCTAAAGTAAGCTATTCATTTTTACTTGTTATTTCAGGTTGTTCTTTCATCACTTTCCGATCTTAGTTGTGGATTTTCTCGCCAGTTGTTCGCTGAGTGGGCCGACAACGACTTAAATACAGTAATTCTAACTTCCCAGGAATCTGTTATCACCGGAATTGATGAGTCGTCCAGTCAAAGTTTAATATCTCGACTTATCGGGTTAGCAAGAAAAGATAATGATGCGCGAAAAGATCTGCCTACGAGTTCAACTGGGACTTCAATCCTTCCTCTAACATTATCACAACGAGTATCGTGTTCACAAGCAGACCAATCTGGGTCCGATATTCCACATTTAAAAAACTCAGCTAAAGGGTTTTCTTTCTCTCAGAACACAAACTCAGCGATTAATGATGCATGCGACGAGCTCAATTCTGAAACAGAACCTGGAAACAGCTATACAGGTATGTTTTCTATACATTTTCTAGTTAATAAATCCCTTACTCTGAAAAGCAATCCATAAAATAAATATTATATATCAAAGTACTTTCATCAAGTGCCAAGAGACTACCGAATGCAACGTTACACTATTTTTGGGTTCTTACAACTTAGTGGGTTAAAACTACATCAGGTATAACTCAACCAAAGGCACTGCAAGTCTTGCCACATTTTTTCACATAAACGGTAGTACTATGTTTGTTACATGAAATCAGTCACTAAGACTTCACTGACATGGGTCATCGCGTATACGACCATGTGTAAGTACTTCATAGTTGCTTTTAGAACAATTTTTTACCTTGACTATTAGTTATTTCCTGTTTTAATGTTTGTCACATGAACTGGGTAATTCGTTGAAATTACAGTGATTAAATTTTCACTAGCTTTCGATAGACATAGCGTACAAGCGACTCAGTTTTGTTATGATTTTAACAGAGTTTATTCTTCTAAACTCTCGAATGATAGTCTAAGGATGGTTGATACTCGTCTTAAAGCTGCAAAAGCAAACTGGGACTACAGGACCATTCTACATCGGGGCTGTCGGATTGTAAATGCTTAGTTTATTATTCAGTATTTATTTATTTAAACACATAAATATTGGTACAAGGGGGCACCAGATATATATTCGCCACACAAAACAATGAGAATGGGAAGAGAAAAAGAAGGTAAGGTGCGTATAGGAAAGAAAAAAAGAACAGTAACGACCACAACTTAGTGTATGGTAGTGTAATAATAATAATAATAATAATAATAATAATAATAATAAGGGGAAACGGAAAGGTACAACCAGAAGAATTTTTTCGGTTAGGGAAGATACAACCACTTTTTATGAAGAAAGTAAAAGAAGTTACAGCAGGATTGCCACTGGCTTTCATTCTGAGCCATATCTGATGACGTCTCTAGCCACTGTGTTGCACCATCTCTCGGACCCCAGCCAGGGAGTCGTGAAGGACCAACACAAGCCGGTCCTTTGCAGCTTTCTTTCATGCCACGACATCATATCATACACTAACCACCTCTCCGCTTTTTCCAACCAGTCCCAGAGTCGGCAAATAATGCACGACGTGGAATTCTGTGGGACGACATTCGTAGAATATGTCTAAGCCACCGAAGTCGGTGTTTCAAGATGGTGACACCAATTGGATTGTCGCCGAACACACTATGGCAAACCTCTGCTCTACTAAAAATGGTGTTGCCACTAGATGTCGGCAATCCTTCGGCGACAACGATGATCAAACAGAGAGTCGTCTAACATCCTCGACTCGGAGAGGCCAGGATTTACAAGTATAAAGGAAAACTGCTCTCACTGACGCGTTGTAGATCCGATGTTTTTCAGCCAGATTGACATCACGAAGGCACCAAAGGTGGCCCAGATTGGCATAAGCCGTTATTCAGTCATCATCAACAAAAGACATGACTGTAGATTAGTCCACGTTACAGCGTCGTAGATCGAATAAAGAAATCAGAAGAATCATTTTCAACTGCACTGTTAGAGATACCATTCAAAGGGTGAAAATAAGATAAAAGACTCATGTTTAAGTCAGGATGTAGAGGGAAATATGGGATGAATTCGTCTACCTTACTATGATCGATTTTGACTCGTGTCACCTATTATTATGAGTATTCCCGACCGAAGCTGCTACCCTGACGCGGTGGTCGGGCTTGCCTATCGTGTTGACCCAACCGAGCTATATTGACTGGGACATATATTCCTGTAGGTTCTACCATGCCAGGCAGGTCGATTGGAGAACGGTAAGACTAAAAGCAGCAACTCAAGGTCTGAGGGCGAAGTCGTACTGCTGACTGTACAGAGGTGTGATAGCAGTAAGGTGTTTCCCTCAGACAACCAGCATCTGCAGCGATGGTGCCTTCCCACAAGAAGGGGTGGGGTTAGAAAAGGTCGACCCTAAAAATGCACACCTCACTCTACATCACGGATTTCCTTCTCCGGCGGTAAGGCCCTTTGAAGAACGGAGCTAACACATTAGAAACCTTCCACGAAAAGGCCGTGCGCAATCGGCCTCAAGCAGTTGTCCCTTGGGCTCTGCGGTCACGCTCCCAGGTCTTTAAGACCAACACTAATCCAATTTCCTTTTCAGGTTCCTCAAGAAATACCCTTCCACGGTGTGGGCAGCCGGGAAGTGACACCAGCCCTCATACCCGTAACAGCACACGAGACCAAGTTGGTCACATTCAAATCCTTCCTACACCTCATAATACCTCTCTTATCTCCATGACTAACCCTCCTCACATCTCTTTATCACTTCGCACCGCTAGGGCAAACGATTCGAGTACGCGGAACGTTATTCTTGGTCTCCTGAAACCACGCTCTAAACTACACGTAGGAGCTTTTAACGTCCGAACACTGTGCCAAATAATACAGCAGGCTTCCTTAGCTAGGACTTTAGAATCCCGCGCCATCTATGTGTGCTGCGTCTCCGAAACGTGCATACAGGACCCGAGCAGCGTCACCATGCCAAAATAAAGAACCGACTCGATTCACACTTCGTGTATCTGGAAGCCCTGATTCTGCTTCCCGTGGCCTCGCCGGTGTAAGTATAGAATTGAGTCCTAGGGCAGAACTAGCCCTCTTAGAGTGGATCCCAGTAGACAGTCGTTTGTGCGCTGTCCGACTAAACGGAACAGTAAGGACTCGTGAAGATAGGGACACTCGTCGTTGCCTCTTCGTCGTCTCTACCTACTCTCCCATTGACTGCAGCTCAGATGATGTAAAAGATGAGTTTTACAGAAAGCTTTCTGACCTCCAAAAAGTTGGGCACTCTGATGTAGTAATAGTGGCTGGTGACTTTAATGCTCAAGTAGGTAAACTAAGCGAATGGGAAAGACACCTGGGTGGATCTTATAGTGTCGTGACTCAAAGAACAGATAATAACGACCGTCTGTTGCAATCATGCTCAGATAACCGCCTGTTCCTAGAAAACACTAACTTTAAGTATAAGGAAAAACACTTTATGACATGGCGACCTCCAAATTCGTCCCAACGTTTGACCCAAATAGATCACATCGCTATCAGTCACCGATAGAGGGGCTCGATAGAAGACTTTCGCTCATTCTGGAGCACATACTTAGATTCAGATCATGCTCTAGTACGAGCGCGTATCTGTCTGCGTCTTACTGGACGTAGGAAAGGCGCTGTAAGTTAACCTCTTAGGGCCCTACTTAATGATAGTCAAGCTAAGAGTATATTTCAGGAACAACTAGGAAAACAGTTAGGCAGCCATGTATGTGATGCCCACCCCGATGCAGCATGGAATGATATCCGAAAAGTTGTGGAAACAGCAGTGATATCTGCTAGTACGGTAACCCGTAAGGTTAGGGAGCAACACTGGGTTGCAGCAGCATCTATCGCACTGATAGATGCTCGAAAACTCGTTCCACCTGGCTCTGAACATAATGAAGAGCGGAGTCAGCTTAAGCGCAAGCTGACAAGAAGTCTACGCAATGACCGTGAACAGTGGTGGGTAGCGAAAGCGAGAGAGATGGAAAAGGCAACGACAATAGGTAATAGCAGACAATTGTTCAGACTTGTTAAGGAAAGTGGTATTAGGAACCCGACCGTTAGCGAAACAATTTTAGAGAAAGATGGACATATTATTCATTCTCAATCCAGGAGATTGGATGGATGGGCAGAACACTTTAGGGATCAGTTCAACTGGCCTTCAGCCACACTTCGATTTCCCACGATCTCCAGTCAACCTGAATGGCAAGTTAACGTAGGTCCTCTGTCTCTTTACGAAGTTGAAAAAGCCATAGGAAATCTGAAGCGAGGGAGAGCAGCAGGCCCTGACAGGTTTACTCCTGAAATTTTTAAGGATGGTGGTCCAGTATTAGCAGTGAGATTGACTGAGGTCTTAGGTAGAATTTGGGAACTGGACGTAATCCCATCTGACTGATCTCAATCACTGATTGTGTCAGTCTATAAGAAAGGACAAAAGTCCTCTTGTGACAATCATAGAGGAACCAGTTTGACTAATATAGTGTCTAAAATATTAGCTTCAATAATACTTCGACGCCTAATCAAAGCTCGTGAAGAACAGACTTAAGAAAATCAGGCTGGTTTTCGACCTGGACGTGGTTGTATAGACCACATATTCACACTACGTCAGGTTCTAGAACACAGACACACATTCAGACGCCCCATAATGGTAGTATTTCTCGACCTTAAGGCAGCATTCGACTCTGTTGATCGTGAGGTTCTATGGCAGTGTTTGTCACTGAAAGGAGTACCAAAGAAGTACATTAGCCTTATAAAGGCTCTCTACTCGAACACAACTGGTAGAGTGAGAGCTTATGGCGAACTGTCATCAGAATTGATTATCTCAAGTGGTGTTCGTCAGGGCTGTCCATCGTCTCCATTCTTGTTCAACTTTGTCGTTGACGTACTTTTAGAGACAACACTTTCCTCATCTAAATTTCCAGGGGTTGAACTTCTACCGGGAGGTTCACTTGTTGACTTAGAATATGCTGATGACATAGTTTTATTTAGTGGAGACGCTGACAAAATGCAGTCTTCTGACCACTCTAAGCAACAATACAAGCATGTTCGGGATGTGATTCTCCCTCTCGAAATGCAAAATGTTTCTTCAGGATTTGGTTGCATTGACACCCGAACTAATGATAGGGAGTGAAGTAATTGAGCGTGTCGATCGCTTCACTTATCTTGGAAGTCTCATCAGCCCTTGTGGTCTGGTGTGTGACGAAATCTCAGCACGGATACAGAAGGCTCGACTAGCTTTTGCCAACTTGCGTGATTTATGGCGTAGGCGAGATATCCGTCTATATACCAAAGGACGTGTTTACTGCGCAGCAGTTCGTCCCGTCCTACTTTATGGCAGTGAAAAATGGCCGGTAAGAGTAGAGGATATTCGTAGGTTACTAGTATTCGATCACAGGTGTCTTCGAAACATTGCTCGGATATCCTGGGACCATCGAGTAAGTAACACAGTTGTTAGGAAACGGGTACTAGGTAAGGATGGCAAATCAATTGATGAAGTAGTGAAACTTCATCAGTTGAGATGGCTGGGACACGTGTTACGTATGCCCAACGACCGACTACTTCGACGTGCGATGTTTTGTTGTATAGGAGTAGATTGGAAGAAAGCTAAGGGCGGCCAGACCAAAACATGGCACATGTCCATAAAGTCATTGACAAGTGGACTGAGTCATGTTGGTAGGTGTAGACAACCTGGTTTGGGTCCGCGAGATGATAGCAACCGATGGTTGGAGACCCTGAATGACATGGCCCAAAATCGTTTGCAATGACGCAGGTGCATACACTCTTTGTGTTCTCCCAAATTTTGATCTCCTTATTTCTGCTTGTCTCTTTTTTTTCTCTTCCCAAATTTATTTCACTGTATTATACTCTTTAAATAACATCTCCAAACACTAATTTTCCTGATTACTGCTTATACTCTTGCTACCTCTACCACTACGGGATTTGAATCGACAACTGCATCTCTGTGCTAAGGTGGTGTGGCAACTCGAACTGATGTACGTACTACGAAGTTCTACGTTGTTACTGACTGACTGACTGACTGATTGACTAGTATGAGTATTAAATAAGACCCAACCAGGACGTCTGAATCTACCTCCATGGCCCAAATCACCTGTCAGTGACTAAGTGTGATGGGATATTTTGACTTATCCACACTAGTTTTATCCAACGTCTGTATCAGCCAGGATTGTTTTTGGGTGTAGGAAGTGGTCTGTTATGTGACATTTACTTTTGCCCTTAATTGATGGCTTATAGCCTTATCAATCGGCGTTTTGTTTTCACTTAGTACCCTTCGCTTAACTTTGACATTTCCCCATTGGTTGTTGACTTGTACTGAATCAATGTCTCACAGGAATACACGCATACATAAGTTATGTTTCATATCCGTACGGTAATACAGAGTGAACGGTATCACAATAACCACCTCAGTCGGGTGGCACGGGAATTAAGACCAAGCGAGATTTAGATATTTGTCTCGGAATTTCGGTAGCCATCAACCTACTAGGGTTAGTGAGAGGCCCAAGTTAATATTTTTCCATTTGGAGTAAAATATCCTTTTTTATGAAGTTGCACATCGTTCTCACTATGATTGATCTCGGTTGAGTTTTGGGAGTATCAGATTATACGAAGATTGGAGATACACCAAGTATGATGAAAAACAATATGATTTCTAACACACTCACTAAAATTCAAATAGATTTCTCTCAATACATTTTGCAATCATAAAAATAACGAGCGATATTGATAAATAAAGTAGAAATGAAAGTTAAAACCAACCATCATACTGAAATATCTTAACCCTTATATACAAACCACTTTTAACAGATTATAACTTTTATTGCATTAGGTAAATCACTTGAATTTTCGAATCTTAACTCGTTTTTTTACTAAATAAGCGTCATTTTTTGTACTCAATAGCATGTAAGATCCATTAATTGTTTCATATAACAGTGTGTCAAATTTCAGACATCCCGATACCATCAGCAGGTGATATTACTCATAGTGATGTTTCGCCACAAATTACTGAAGGAATCCTTGAGAAACAACCATCTTGTGATTCTGAATTGGAAAATGAATCAACATGTTGTTCGAATCGCCCATATGGTTCAGAGGAAGGTACGCACATAGAAAAATCAAAATCACTCTCTCTTACGTTGTCCGTACCAAGAGATCATTCGAAGAAAACAATTGTTCCGAGCAATACAACTAGGTTATTTCCTAAGACTTCTTTACCTTTAAATATGGAACAATTTGGAGTTACAAATCTTCACTTAACTTCTGGACGGCATCAAGCTGGATATGACATATATCCAGGGCTTCATAACCAAGCTGGAGGGCAGTTTTTCCGTGTGGCTAAACGGACTCAGTTGCTGTTTCCTCAAAATGAAAAGAAGGTAAGTTATCGTCAATTCGGATAATATCGTTTCGCAAGATATCACCTACTTGACTACCACTCAAATTTCTGTCTAACTGGTTGTCATCATTAATATTATTGAGATCACGAATCGACCTGTGTTAGACAATCACCAAAGACCTGTGGGTACTGAACAACTGTTTCGTTCTAGTACAGGGGGTATGCACTCACAACCCGACCGGGGATCGAACTCAGCACCTAAGATCTCTCACGTAAATGCGTAACCTCTAAATTACTGGACCGGAATCTCGTTGTCTATATACCTAAATCTAGTCAATACCCAAAATAGTGTGGCCATCTTTCTTAGTGTTCAGTGAGTACGTGCCTCATACTCTATATGGTTGAACTTCACTGATCATGGCTTCTCAATATAATTCCAGAGATTTATTCACAAAGTTAACTAACAGTAACCACATGATGAACAATAATATGCGGTTTATGAAGGTTATTGCATGTTACTGAGATCACCAACTGAGCTAAGTTAGATCCTTGGTGGATTTGTGGACGCACATTACTGAGGAGTGTCATACTAAGACAAAATAACTGTACGGTGATTCCAGGTTTTCAGAGGTTATCTAATTTAGGCCTGTTCGTGACCTCAACATTCAGCCATCTCCACAAACCCCAATACTGTTTGTAGATGATATCATTAAATATCTGATTCAAACTTATGAACGTTATTTACAATAACCAATTAAATGCCTAAAACAATCAGTTAGTTGTCGTTGTCAGTTAACTGAGAAATTTCATTTTCTTATGAAACAGTGACTTATAATGTTATGTATTTATTTGGTGTGCCATCAGTGTTGCGTTATTTTGTAGGTTTCTTCTAAAATCGTCTTTTACTAAATTATTAGATCGAGTATTCATAATTCGGTTTTTGTTGAAGTTTACGTATACACAAGGTGTATTTATGAAACTTATTTCCGACTATTGGAGGTGGTGAATAGATTTGAAGCTTCAATTTTTGAGTTTTTATCGGTCATTATAATCTAACTGTGTCTTGTTCCTTAAAAAAAAACTTAAAATTACAGGGCTTGGTGTCTCCATGTAAAAATTAGTAGAATATGTTCGGAAAGTTGTGTACTATTGTTTACACATGATTAAATCTGGTAAATTATATGATCACAGACCCATAGTTCACTTCCTGAGTACAAAACGGAGCTTTCATTTTTATGATGTCCCTAATACTCCATAACATCACGGATCATAATGTTAGTTTCTTAAATATGCTGCTCTGCATAATTTATGCAAACGAGATTGAAGTGGCATCAAACACATGCGAATATATCCGGCGGCAAGTTTGAAACTAGTTTTTGTGATTGAAAGCCATCGAATTGGGTGATTAAATGTTTGCTCGACCAGTTCTTAGAACTAAAATTATCTCAATTTTCGAGATATTATTGTCTGGTTTCTAAAAGGAAGTAACTGTATTTTATTAATAGATTCACTGGGATGAGTATGGAGCACATCTTGATCCAGAGTTGTTCACTTCAACAGAACCAGTTTCTAGTCAGGCAGCATTGCCGAATTGGGATATCAAAAGTAAAGGTTTGTTTTTCTTTCTAAGATTAAAACTAACCATTAACTGATTCCGTAAATTGCTATTTCGATTAACGTTGCTATATTTTCATTTTTCACTTTGATAGTTTCTTTAGCGTAATGTTAGTGCTCATCTGTTGATCATAGACTCTTTTATTTATCTTTGATTATTTTGGAATCAGTTTCAGGCATACAGTTTATTGCTTAAAAGTATTTTGATCCCACTACGTACATATTCACATTGATCTTTTCTTGTTGATGATTTGATTCTATCGGTACAGCTTGTTTTATGACTTGCAAAGTTGATAACTTAACATACCGGCGCACGTTTGTATTAAATATCTGTTGTCAAATAATGGAAAGCTCTGGACGTCGATTTCATGTCTGTCAGCGTCTATCAGTGAGGCACATAACTAACCAGAATAAAAACAAACCGGCTAAGCCAATCCATCTTTTCAACTTGAGTAGTCCGTAACATTATATCAAAGTGTTTAATCTGTTATTTTCTTGGTAGTGCCCGTATGTTGTACCATTTCTTAAGTCATCTTAACTAAGTTCAATATAATTGTCTTCGACTCCTACAAAAGGGAGACCTAGAAATTTAATGGTAATCATATTTCTCAAGAAATACTGAGTTCTTATATTCTGAAATCACAAGATAATGTACCGGGTTTCTTCATTACAATTTATTCAAATAAAATAGGCATTTTCAGATTATTTCTTTTTTGTTGTTAAATATAATTCTCTTCATCACTTTTAGACACAAAACCTAATTCAGATATTGTCTCATCGGGTTTTTCATCTACGTCAATACTGGATTATTTGGTTGCAAGAACTCCAACTTTTGACGTTCTGGATTCTAATACTCGTTGTGTAACCCATCATTTGGAAATACCTCTACGGTGTGAAGTTGTATTTTTGGATTATGAAGTTAGTCTGTTTTCTAAAGTGCTTTGAAGAGGCCTTATATTAAAGTATACTCTCTAACCCACAAGTAGTGTTTGATTTTAATAGTTAAAATATCTTGTTTTAGTGTTTACCACATGTTTACTGAGTACGCTTACTCCAATCATTACTGTTATGTACTAGATTGTCATCTGCAAATGCGTACTTACTATTCCTTATGTATCTAATTGATTTTGACTCAAGCTAGTTGAATATCCAATTTGCTTATCGCTTTATCTCTCTTGTTGATTTCATTGATCTTAGTAGTTTGACGATTGATGAAATATCCTTTAAGTATTGTGCCTAGATGTGACACATCTTCATGCTTATTAATAATCAATTATGTAGAGCATATTTGCACTTCGTAACTGTAAGACTTTCATAAAATGGAGGGTTGATATTATTTACACATTATTATGTTCTATGTATTTTTGACAGATTTAGAAAATTAAGTTAATCAGTCAGTTAGTATATCTAAACCATCTAGAGGAGATTGCTAAACTAATTGCTTAGTTGAATCCTTCATGACGGTCTAAATACGAAAGCTATATATTCATTATAATGTAAAGAAATGTCAAACGAGTATTTATATATCGGATACGTTTTGTTAGAAAGTTCAGGTGATTTAGCTCATAATTACATCAGTCTTAATAATTGCATTCGCGTTCTATTGAAATGTTACTAATGAATATTTAATATATTGATGAGGATTTTACATTTCCTTATCTTATTTTTCACCTAATCAGTTAATTATCTTACTATGCCAATTTGAATTCGAAATTTGTTTATCTTTCTTAATCTACTTATTTATTTGTTATGTGATATATGTAGTATTTGGTAAACATTTGATTTATAGTTCTTAGGTCAAAATTAACTTACACTGAAAAAAAGTTTTTCTGTATATTATTAAGAATTTATTGGAAATATACTGAAAGTTTTGTCATTAGTTGATGACTTTATCTATTCATGTTCTTATATTTCTGATTGTGATTTTCAACAACAACAACAACAAAAATCGAAATTGCTCATTGTTTTTTTACAGTACGAGTTATCATTTAAGGTTGTTCGTATAGACTTCCAATTCATCAGTTATTACCATCACTGTTTATTTGACATTGGCTAGACATTAGATTGTATTTTTTTAAATAGTTGACAAAAAGTCAGTTCACGTTACTTTTTGTGTGTGTTTTGTCTATATGAAAGTATATATATAGTTTATTTCAGTCAAAAATACTATGAAAACGACTCAACCTAACGAATAGTTAAATGCGTATTTTAGTGTGAACCTATTGTATTAGTTTTAACAATACCTGTTCACTTCCGACAAGTGTATAGAATACTTGAGTCTCTTACCGAGTGATTAAGAGACATTTATTTATTGAAACACATAAATATTGGTACAAGGAGGCCCCAAATACATATGTGCCACACAGATCTCATTTGATTTGTGTGAGGGCTGTGATACTGTCCGGGTGCCCAAACCGAAGCAGGGATTAAGAGACAAACCAATTTTTTAACAGGCAACTACATTTTGTTAAATAACATTGAGCAACAAATTCTCAAATGCAACTTAGTTTAAAACAACTTCACCTGAAATTCTGATACAATTGTGATTAATTCCTCCATATCGTAATTTATGAGTTTTCACTTTTTCCTTCATGGTCAGTGACTCGATTGGCTATTATTCTCCATAGTTTGTTTTAGATCGATTGGATTAGTTCAGTTTAATTATGTTTGTTGATACGGAACTATGAAAGATTCCTATTTTTCAGGATCTTTTCAGGATATGTGAAAGAATTAAGTTTATGACTTCAAGGATTTTGTAATTTTAATTTTTAAGAAAAGTATGTTTAATCATTATTAATTTAAGGTGAGAAATGAATTATATTCTTTACGTTATTTTACCATAACTTTATTTTGTCTACTGAATCACTTAAACTCTTATCATCAACGGAATATTAACTAATATTTCTATCCAGTTTATATACATGCCAAGATTTGTGTTTAAAAATATACTAGTACAGTCTGTATTTATATTAAAGAAAAGATAAAGTAATGCCAAATAAACCTTTTATGATATTGTTAGTAGTATTTTAAAATTATTTTTAATATTTACCACTTTTTTCTGTTTTTTTTTTAAGGGTCGATCAGATGGGGAAGCTATGAAACGTATTCTAATTGGTCTGAGACCACAGGAAATAATTTTAGTTGGTAACAATGCACCGGCCATTGATCATTTAGCAAATTATTGTCGTGGTGTCATGCTGTTAGATCCCAACTATATACATATCCCTCATCCACGAGAAATTGTGAATTGCACAAAAGAAGGAGATATTTATCAGGTGTGCTTAGTGATATATTTTATGGTTCTGTGTTATCATTGATATGTGATATAAATAGTAAATAGTCCTTATAGTTTTATTAGAACACGGGCCTATGCACAAGATTTCACAAAACAAACGTACAAATGAGACACATGAAATAAGAAAATGTTCAATATTTCAAATGAAACGATAAAGTGTAAATCCGTTTGAACCCCTTGGGTAATCTATTTTAGTCCTTGTCGATAAAAGTTCTCAAACATCGATGTTTAGCGTTTTTTAGACTTGAATTCTCTCGTATGAATCAAATTAACAATTATTAACATCATGAATATCAATGTCATGTTTTAATCTAAATCACCCAAGGTCCAGACTCGTCATTTGTTAATGTTATTTATAAAAACGACTTCTCGTCTGTCAGATATCCTAACTATTTTTGTTAATTTAGTCTGATAATACAAGTTGATAATTCACGTATTTTAAAACTTCAGATATCGTGACTGGTTGCGAGAGATAATTTGAAAACAGCAACAACTAAATATCTTCATTATTTTATCGTTTATTTTCAGTGGCTATATTTATAGTACGTTTATGTGTATAATCAGAGGTTACTAGTAGTAACCATATCCGTATGTGATAGTGGTTACCAAATACTAACTACACTAATGAAGCCTGCCATTTCAAGAATGAGGCACCGAATAGTAGTGGTACCATATGAACCATTGGATATTTTTGTGAGACATAAACGTACTAAGTTCGATTCGAAGTAGTGAGATTGTGAGTGCGCTAAGGTGTTTTGAATTAGACTGAAGCATCTGTTATGTATTCCATAGTTTTTAACCCACCTTTGCTGATATAAATCCCTGAAACTATACTTATGTATTGTAAGTAATTTCTAACTCCAACTTCAGTGATAGCGGGTTGAACTGTACCCCGTTCTCTACTTCCCTATGCAATAACTACAGACAGAAGTCCTGGAAGATTGATCAACATTCGAATTTGTTGCATTATACGCAGATTACATGCAGTGACTAGTGATTAATGAAATCGTCAAACTAAAGAATTATCACTGAACCAAAAAGTGGCATCAGTCCATAACGTCACTAATTTGCGGCCTGAACCATGTTGGTAAATGCAGACTACTTGGTTGGGGTCCGCGTGACTATAGTAACCAATGGTTGGAGACTCTGGGTGACATTGTTCAGAATCGGTCACAATGGCGTATGTGTATACACTCTCTGTCTTCTCTTGAACCGTGAGATTAAAATTATTTTATAAATTTCTTTCTACGAACTAATTTTTTATCCCCTTATTATATCCTTGCATGCAATCTTTTTTTATATGTCACTACCATTGAAGTGACTATCCCTATGAATTCGGTGTTCATCTTGTAATAATGAGGTATGGTAACTTGGACAGTTGTATCTATGTGCCTGGTCCTATGTTGTGAATGACTGACTGACAGAATTAATACTGAATAAAAGTTCGTTCGATGAGAAATTACATGGAACTAATTGGTACAAGTTAATGTTATACTGAGCGAAAGTGATGCTGAATTAATTCAGAAGTTAAGTAAATAGAAATCACACTGATTTAATACAAAAAACTACTGAATAAAAAAACCTAAATCAATACAAAATCTTTCACTTGATTTATTCTTCCTAAATCGTACTATGGGTATTTAACATCCCCAAAACGATAACATTTTACTCAAATATATTCATGGTATTAGTTTTTATGTGGAATAAATTAAACAACTTCGCAAATTTATCATAATTTCAGTTTGACTGAAGATAATTTCTTTTCGTATTGAATTTTATTCAATCTTGATTTTTCTTTTTGAATACATCTATTATCGGTATTTCATAGGCAAGAATGAAAGACAGTTTAGTTTCTAGTTTAAAATTCACAAAAATACGTGATTATGAATTAGCTTGGGTTGAAGCAACTGTATCGCTCGATGATAAATCTGATTATCATATTAAAGAAAAAAACAATAATAATGCTGAAAATAATGGTAATGATGATAATGGTGATGTGGAAATGTCCACTGGGAATAATTTAGAATTGAGAAGTCGAACGCCATTAGCTGCTGATCAGTTACCAGTTCTCAGTCTTCCTACTGGCCCTATTGGACAACATAAAACGGTTTTTGTAAATGAACCGAAGTTATCCGATGTATGTGTAATGTATTATTTCAATAGTTTCGTAATCATTTTGTTTTTTATGATGTACTGTGATATTTCACTGAGTGATTTCTGTAAATTTCTGATTTATGAACTAGTATTTTTTTTCACCGATTTAACGTATACTGATTAAATATTGTGTACATCTATCCAATCATGAACTTCAGGAGTAAATTCTAGGGAACTTATAGGGATATATGGTAAAAGTCAATCAGTCATCTAGTCAGTAATCAATCTAAAGTAACAGTCTATGGGTATGCTAATGCTTATAAACATGACAGTTCCTGAAGAGAACCAATCAACAACACTTGCCAGAATGAAGTGATTATGCGTTTGTAGCGAAACCAAAATTTCCATCACTGTTTAAAGTTTTGAAAATGTTGCGTCGAATAACAATTAAACTATCCAGCCCAAACACTAAAAAAGATACATTCTTTACTTATAATTGGACTCTGTCATTTTCAAGATGTTATCTTCTAAAAAAGTTTCATAAACGATTGTACTAGTCTATAATTTATCTACAATGGTCAAGATTTCTAAAAAAAAGCCAAATATCTTGAAATTTGGGATTGGTTTATGCAGTAATAGAGGTTGACCGAAACAAATACACTTGTAAATTAATTTAATGACAATAATGAACATTCATTAATGAATTTATTGACTTCATCTCCTGTTTGAGTTATGTGAGAAACTGTAAATTTACATGTTATGATTGTTCATTTGTTGGTTCATTGAATAAATAGACGTAACTATGTAGTACAAAATATTTTTATGGCTACTGAGTAATGAACTTTTAATTAATGGTAATTCAATAAAAAAATTTATACGTACTAGTTACTTTGTATTTACTTTAGTTTTTTCCTATTTTCATTTCTAGTTAAAACAACTTTTATTATCACAAGGTTTAATGGCAGAATTTGTCAGTGGTATATTAGTAGTAGATAATTGTGTTGCAATTAAACGATCTGAAGCAGGTAAATTATTACTAGAAGGTTTATTATGTGGTACATACTTTGAAGTTCGACGAATTCTCTATCAACAATTTGCTATTCTATGATGAAAATTTCAAGAAAAGAATGTCAACAATATTCTTTCACATATAATATGATATATAAATCTGAAAAAAGCATTCTGTACATAATTATACATATTACATGGATTTACGTGTAATTTTTTAAATAAATTTAATATTTTGATAATCAACTATCTTCTTACTCGTTATCGTATTTATGTTTTACTTCATATATATATCGGTCTTTTTTGCTTTGAAAGTCATGTCTACGTATGATATGCTCATGGATTGTTAGTGTTTATTTTATAAGGGACTTACTGTCTGTTTGTTTGTTTGTAATACACAATTACAACTCAAGATTTCAATAAAAGTTAGCAGGGACTGATATTCTCATCACGTACTTATTAAGGCTTAAAAATATAATAATCACTGATGTTTGATTTATACTTTAATTATGTAAGGGTTAGAAATACCGTTTACTTCCTGAAATAGGTAAAGAGATTTGTTTTCGACAGAGAGTTTGATAATAAAAATTTGATTACTTCATTCAGTTTAGAAATATAAGTTTAAATGTTCAGGCCCCCAAATGCCCTGGTACGGCCGAGAGTGGGGAGAGTCCGCTCTCCCTCTCGAAATGCTCTCACATGGCCACACGTATATAGCCTCTGCCAGGGAAGTCCTACTCACTGCCTTCTCGTGGTGGGGGTGTTGTTTACGAAAATGAGAGGACGAAAAGCGAATGTCCGGCACTTTAACCGGATTCCAAACCAATGGTGCACATGGGCTCCAGTATCCTGCGGGAACAAATGGCGTATGAACCAGTTGTTGGTCACCGGCTACCATGGGACTGCATCTCCTTACGATGCTCCACTGCCTTGTGGATCAGACCTTCAGGTCAAAGACTCGGGGTGTAGCCCCCTAAGAAAATCACCTGCCTCGGTCTGGGCACCCGGGCAGTATCACAGCCCTCACACATGTCGAATCAGATTTGTGTGGCGCATATGTATTTGGTGCCTCCTTGTACCAATATCTATGTGTTAAAATAAATAAAATAAATCATAAAAAGATTGATGTCGAATATTGAAGAGGTAACTGACTAGATTAAAATTGTTATCCCATTTCACAATGTTCGTATTTTTTTTCATAACCTAATTTATTCTCTTGAAAATGAATAAGTTTAATTCATTATCTCTGCTTCATAATTCACTTTATTGTTATGTATCATAATTAATACTGTATACAAATCTGTCGTATTTATTGACTCTGCCTTAATCATTCATTGTTAATAGCTTGTATAATTATATTATGAATCTTAAAATACAAATTATAGAGGAGACAACATTATCATTATAAACGAATCCTACTTATATTCCCGATCTGTATCCTCATTATTTCTAGTGAATATCAGTCTTGATTTTGAAAAGCTTTATAAGTGAAATAATTAATAATCTGTTAAATATATGTGATAATTTGCTGTTGTCTATTGATATTTTAAGTCTATCACTCTTTCATAGATTTTACTTGTCTCAAGCTAACTGTCTCTAAATTGTACAGTATGCAAATCATTTCAGTCATTTAATATTTAGTTTTTAAGTACATAATTCATACCATATACATTATTCTAAACATTCGTCAAAGGAAAATAATATGGGACATTCTGAGAATAAAACTGATCAGTTAAGGTATGGGTTCGTATTTACCAAACCATCAATATTATGGTATATTATGAAATTGAATTAACATTGTAATTTTAATTTTTAATTGTCAAGTAATTCTATTCACTTTAATTTGTTAAATGAACTGCTATTGATCACCACCGAGTGATCAATCAATTGTGATTACATCTCAGTGGTAACGTCTCTGACTGTGAAGCTGGGTGACACGAGATCGAATCCGCCAGGGAGCACCAGTTCCCTCAAGACTACAGGTACACCTTGCTGACGAGTGCTAAGTAGCACGAAACCCGGGTCCAGGGTTTCCTGTCGACTACCTCCAACCACCATCTGAACTGTTATTTTTCACGGTTGTATTCTTTGGGATGGAAATTTTTTCAAACCAATTAAATAACTACTTTATTCATTTTATTAAAGCAAATATTTATTACTTAATTTGTCAATTGCTATTAATATTAATACTATTATTATTATTATTATTATTATTATTATTATTATTATTATTATTATTATTATTGTTTTAGACTTCTGATTTCATGTTAAAGTACAGCTTCGATAAAGTTATGGATGATGTTCAACTACTTGTATCTCGATTGCGTGCACGTGAAGAGTCGGTCGATTTATTAAGACAACAGCTATGTAAATTACAAGCACAGTTACTGAGTATGCGACAGGTGATTAATGAATTTATTGATTTAAAATGAGTTTATTTAATATTATTGTTATGTCAAAATGTATTGTTGTATCCAATCAAAGCAATGAGAATAGGTTTGTATAGTTGATATGTATTGTTATTAATTCCTAAGTAAAAGTATAATTTTAAACACTATTTTGTAAGTGGTATTCAACTACTCATATTATTGGTTAAAAGTTTGTACGTATCATCATATTTACCCTGTTTTTGCTATTATATTATTTACTTTTAAAGGAACTTGAAGAGTTGGAGAAACTGTACTTTACTATCCAATGCCGTTTTGATTTCTTCTAGGTCTCTGATGCCTGACTCTTTTCTTAGGATTTGTCATTTTCGTCAGAGGCGTACCGATCATGATCGTGGTTATAGTTGGTCATATAAGCTCTCTATGACTCAGACTTTGCAAGTGTTAAGAAGTTTTATAACTCAGGATGATTAAATAGCTGTTGAAATTGAAGTGTGATATTCCTTAGTTATACCTTCCGAAATATCAATCAGTATATCATTGGAAGACATTGTCACTATTTTTCCACTGAATACTACACTTTGTGTAATCGGTTTCTGTGACAAAAGCGACTTTTTTTATCGTTATCATCATTATTTTTGTTATATTATTTCTCTTTTCTTTAGTGTCAAGAAACAATTCTTGAGTTTGATGAATTCTCTAAACGGGTCTCTAATCAACCAAAAGGTCCACTGATTATCTGTCTTGCAGCTGAGAACAAACAACTAGAACAGTTGAAAATTGAAAATAAAACATTAAGAAATTCCCTTGATGAACATCAAACTGCTTTAGATATGATTATGACTAAATATCGTGGACAAGTTAGTTGTATTTATAAAATTATAATGTTCTTGAAGTTTCCATATTCCATTCTGTGTATCTTTGAATGTTTTGCATAATAATCATGAAACAGCTATTTCGTTTCTCGTTTAGTTCGATGTAACAACATTTCGTACATTCATATTGATATTTTCTGTATTCGTACTTAAGACTAGAGTTGTTTGGAAAGTAATCTGTAATATTCATTGCTTCATTTTATCTGTCACATAAATCACTTATTTGTTGCATTTAATCTTTCCAGATTTCTAAACTAATGAGAACCTATCAAGTTGAACATCTTGTTCAATCAGTTATAAATCCCGATAACAGCGAAAATCGGTGTATAAAATCTTCATACCCGGATCCAAAATTAATTAATACACGTTCAACTAATTCCATTGATTCACAATCTGTATCACAAAAATCAAATTCCGGTAAAGTTGATGAGATAACAGATAATATAACCCAATCATTAACTGAACAATTTACTACGGTAGCTTCTATTGTCCGTGACGTTACTGACCGTGGTGATGCATATGCTGCAGAATTAGAAGAAGAATTACACCGATTAAGATCTGAAAATGCTGGTCTTCGAGAAATTTTAATGATATCTTCTGATTGTTGTCCTGATACTAATTCTAATGATTATGTTCTTCCACCTGTATCTTTACCAAATAAAGATTCTATACAACATGAATCATCTTCATTATCATCTGTTCAGTCAGGACGATTTCATTTTCTTGATGAAGATTCTAGTTCAATTCATTTACCTGGTATTGATGAATGCTTGAGTAGTGTTAATGTCAATGAAGATTCATTTTTATACAATATTCCTAATCCTTCTGATGATAGCAGTAATAGTGATACAATTAGTGGTAATCACTCAGATGAGGATAGTGATGAAGATGATAGTACAGTTTATGAGGTTGCTATGAAACAAATGATTAACTCTCTATAATTTTCATGTTCATTTGTCGTCATGAAATTCATTAGCTTTTATCTTATTAATGATATTATTTCTTATGTTGAATGAATGTCTTACATAGAATGAAAATAGTTTTCAACATTTAAACATTTCGTTTACACTTTATCTTCTCTCTTTATTTTTGACTGAGAGATTTTGGTTGTCCGGTTTAAAATAAGTAAATAATTTTTGTGTTTTGTATTGGAGAAATGACCAATTCCCAAGTTAATATACTCATTTATATGAAAGAACATCACAAATTGAAATAGTGTATACACCTTTTTTTCTCCTAAAATATAAAGTAATTCGTTCTTAATACAGAATCGAAAAATGCTTCAAATAACACTAAATACTGTTTATTAATTTCTGTATTAATTTATTTTAAACATTCTAAATGAAACTGTTATTTGTAAAAATAAACAACAACAACAACAGTCGATTGGTTTCTATTGAATAGTTAAATTGTGGAAATATGAAAACAATGCATTGTATTATCCTTTTTGGCAATGTGAATAACACGTTTAAATTTAGAATATAAAGAACTAATGAATTTTATTAGCTTCTTACTGATTTATGTGATTGACAATTTCAATTATTAACAAAACAAAACTATTCTAGGTGTCTATTGAAAAGAAAATGTTAGTGTAAATGTATAGAATGTTGTTTCTCGATACTGGAGAGTTGTGAGTTGTTGTTTTTTTCGTAGAATGTTTAAGGGGTTGTAGTCAGCTATAAAGAAGCTCTTGTTTTAAGTTTATTACCAGTTATCGGTCGTCAGCAATTTGTGTCTGTAATATTCAGCAAACTATTGTCCGCCATGGGATTCGAACCAGGGTCTGATAATGTCACAGAGATTTAATGATTTCGATGTTCAGGTTGAGGAATGTCGACATTTTTTAAGCTGGTAATACATTATAATATAATCATCAGAATCCAGTCAGCAATGAGGACTAGAAAAGCATGACATTAGTCACTCTCTTAGCAGTCAGGGTTATCGTCTCGAAAACTACTTTATTTTGATGGAATCCATTACACGGGTTTCGTGCTATTTGAGATTTGTCAGCTGGGCTTACTTCCATTCTTTTTGGTGTTCACACTGGGACTCGAACCCATTATCCATTGAGTTGCTGAATCCAGACACCCAGTAATCCGTTCAACTTGCGTGATGTTTGTATCATTATTAATATAGGCGTGGGTTATCCCATTGTTGATATTCAAGATTAAATTTCTACTGATTCTCGTGCGCACTGGATTCCACTGCTAACCCTAATCCATATGTTGTTAGTCACTTGAAATACGATGACTTTATCAAGACAATCCTCATAGAATGTATATATGTTAATTAATACTGGTCAAAATCCGGTTCTGGATATCAACAAGAGAACTCAAAACCATATGAATAACAAATCAGTTTTATCCTGGTCATCAATTGATCTTAGAAGATGGACTAAAAATAATAGATTTGGTACGATGTAACAAACAAAATGAAATTCTTTGTCTTTTTTTATTTTAAAGAAAAAAATTATTAATTTTAATTATAAACACTAATTTAATGAGTTCCTAGAAAAAATGACTGGTTTTGTCAAAAGGCGAGTGACAATCCACGGCACAAAGTGTTTACAATTAAAAACTACAGAAGGTTGTTTAATTTACGATATTGTACTTCGTTAGTTAAATGGGTATTAGGTTTTACACACTGCGGATTAATTTTAACATATTCATTAGAATGTTATATTTCCAAGACTCTAGATGGAATGAATCGTGAAGATATCAGGTGATTATTTTACTCTAACTTTACTGAGTGGAATGATATAAGCTTTCACTGCCTTTAAAGGCAGTAATCTAATTCAAATTGAATATACCTTGAATGTATCAGTTATCTGTTAATATTCAAGATAATAACTTAAAAGGTAAATTCGGTCAGTGTTTTATACTTGTTTTACGTAATAAGTGATTTTTTTCCTTCCGAAACGTCACAATTAATACAATGAAGTCTCTACTCTGAAGACTTTGACTTTTCGTTTTGTTGTCTGTCTGATGTCCATCTTTGAGAAACTGAGATACTAGAATTCTAGTTATTATTTCGGGTGAACATAATTTTCTGTTAAAAGTCCCAACGTAAATCATTCAATGACGGATTTAGTGTCCCAATCAGTTTGTCTATTGATAATAAGAATAGGCAATGAGATAAACATTTACTCAACTTTTTACAATATTATTCACTAACTTTTGAAAAAGTGTAAGATCAGTTTCTGATCTTACTTTATCTAACTTATTCAGTGTCCATGCTTTTTGGGATAGATAAAAGGATGGTCTAATTCCTATAATTACGCCTATATTATAATCAGTTTATAACAGAGATGCTCACTTTATTCAGTACCGTTTATTTGAATGCAGTAAAGAATTCTCAGCACAAAACTCTTGTCTTGTAAGTATCTAACTTGAATATTGAGGAAACATTTACGAAAAGTTTCGAACAGTGGTTAGCCGCAATTTATATTCATCTGTAGGTATTTACGATTTATCTTGCTTCCATGACGTCAATTTCCACTGCCTAATGTGCTTGATCTATGGATTCTGCGTACATTCCCCTCGTTTCTTCAAATAACAGAGAATGAAGAAACTATATGGATAATCTAGGACTTATTACTCGGGTATGTATGTGGTTACATTTGTGATACTGTTTTTTTAATTTTCGAAAGTGCATAAGCACAGTTGGTTTGCAAGTTTATTAAAACAAATATTTTTGTCAATAAACGCATGTTTGGAAAAACGATTCAGCAAGTGAAGCCGGCTGCAAAGTGTACTTGTAGAGTGATTTCGTTTTGTCCTGCTTTCTGGTCGTTTAGGCCAACTAGAAAAACATTGATTTCAGCCAATCACAGTTAGTCATCAGCGTAACATAAATCAAGCAACATAAAAATGTCGAATAATAGGTTTATACTAACAGTCAGGTAATTCTGCGATGTGGTTAGATTGGAACCACTCATTTCACGGTTTCATAATTATTTGTGGTATTTGTTGCTAAATGTATTTTACTGCTAACAGCATTTTAGTTTATGTAAACATTCACCTTAGTTACAAGTCCGCAGTTCTCCATCTTTGTTGGTAAAGAAATAATTATTTGTATAAATGAAGCGAAAATTCTTTATCAGAATACCCTTCCTCTACTAATTTTTAGTAAGTAGTGTATGTTTTTACTAACAAATCGTTCGCGATATCACACCTTTATGAATTGAAAATATCGGTCATATTTTATCAATTTATTTTGATCGGAGTATAAGTCTTTAATAATGACCAATAAGTGTTAATTCTTTAAAAAATACTTCGCACTGACGCTACATATCACACGCAAACCCACAGAAATTATCTCTTTTATCAAAGGATTAAAATGCTAAAAAGCTTGTATGGTGATCAACCGATACACTGACCAAAACACCTACTCCTTAAGTACAAAGAGATTGTGCATTTTTCTGGTCATCAGAGAGACATGTGATTCTATGGATGCTCCTTTCAGGACCACCTATGTTGAAGAACTCTTACTGTCATGTAACGCAATAACAGTAAACGAATAACCAGACATTTGCTTACTTTACAATCAACAGCAATATCCTAACCTGTCACTCAATTATCCCAGACTGCCACTAACATTATGACAACAAACATCGCTACTTGCTAACTGCACGCTATAACAACACTCGGATCACCAACTCCAACTTCATTTCGAAATCCAATGGGTCCCATCTAGGCTATTCTTCTACCTTATATGAGCGTCTATAACAGAATTCGCATTCTTCTAGAGCGAGAAATAAACACTGAGACAAGCATTGCCCTAAAAACGATACTATCATTTGCAGTATTGTTACACTTAAAAATATGTGACATATCACATACGTTCCTGGGAAAATACACAATAGTACATACTTGTATACCAAACACGACAATTCAACGTCTAATACTTCGATTTTTTCGTGACCATCACAACACCTAGCAGTCACTATCCGGATCTAAACCTATATCTAACTAGAATAAATATGCAGAGAGAAAGAGAAAAAACATTCCACAATCTGTATTCATATAGGCATTTATTTATACTACAATGCAGACCTTCGATCAATCAATTCATTGCTCTTTCTACCATGGATACGTAACCAGTATCACTACGAATCTGTTTGAATATGAAGCCTGTGGAAAACGGAACGCAAATCTAATGGGTAACTCTAAAATAAAGCTTAGAAAATTATCCTATCTTGTAATTTTAAAATGTAGATTGATATTTATGGTCAAATTAAAAGTGTACAAAATATCCTTTAATTAGATTGCTTTCCACTGCCTCAATATATTTTTTGTGAAAGAAACAGTTGATGTAATGTTCAGTGATCGTTGCCTTATATGATGCAAAGTTATAATTTAGCAATGTTGGATCGTTAGTTGTATTTATACGTATGTACAAAGAATGTAGGATAAATCAACACTACAAAAATCTTTTTTTTGAAAAAAAGTATTTTAAATTTGATTAATTATGTTTTTATATCAACAGTCATGATTATTTGTTTGAAAGCACTTAAATTGCCATGGTTACTACCCGACAGAAACAGACATAAAATTTCAACAACAATCAAGGGTTAATAGAAGTATTTATTCAAGAGGATATTTGTGATATAGAGTGTTCTCTAAGCAGAACAATAGTTTAACGGCACGGTTTTTCCTTCTAATGTGAATGTTTCTCGAACATAAACACAATTATGTGGGTAGATTAAAGAAAAACAAAACAGGAATCTAGATTTTATTCAGTTTATTGTTTGTCATAAAGATTAGTTTTTCATCACAAAATGTATTGTATTCACATTGTGCTCAATTTTAATCAGTCGATTTCAAATAATTAAACTTAGAATTGTTAAGGTGTTGGTCCGTTATCAGTATATCTGAATTATGTCCACATTTTAGCTTCAAATAATGATCAGTATTATTTCTAAACATTTATTATAATTCATAAGTTGAATGTTTTCTGTTACAAAGTTGTGGATATTATTTGAGATGGTAAAATTAGTGTAAAATTTCAATCATTGTGAAATGAATTCAATCAGTCAAATCAATGTTTCTGTATTCGATTATATAGTTTAACCTACCTATTTTTATTGATTAGATATAGTGATTCAGTAAGTAATTCCATCGAAATAACAGGATTAGTTTGATTTAAACAATTAAACAAATATAAGAATTTACAAACAAAAAGGGTATGTAACTAAACAAACGGAAATTATCGCATCTTAATATTGTTAACCGTATTTCAATCAGTAACATTGGCCAAACTAACTGATATTCATGTATAATCATAAGATATTATATTAATTAAATCAATATTTATCATTATAAGGTCGTGGAGATTATGAAGTTTAGATTGATATCATGAATGGATCAGTGTGCAAGATCGTGGATGTATACTGCTTAGGAGTTTCATATCAATATAAAACGGTCATCCAGTGCTTCTAGGTTTTCAATAGTAGTCTAACATTGATTCATTCATGATATCAATCTAAAATCAATATTTGTCAAATTGTATCAATCAGTTAAAATATATGAATAACCCATTTATTGCATGACACAATCGTAATATTGATAACAAGTGTACTTTAAT